CTATCAGTGTGTTATTATGGCTTTTAGAGACTGTTCCGTGACTTAAATAATCAAAACAGGAAAAAGAGGGGACAAGATCTCAGATATAATCTCAAAAAAGGAGTATTAATAGTATCTAAAATACCAAATTGTTATGTGGCTCTTGCAAACAATATAAGTTACCTATGTGTCCATGTAAGACAATAAGTAACTAAACCTTTCTGGCACTAACTTAGAATGAGTAGTAGTTAAAACTCTCTCCAAGAAATTTTTTGCAGGGTTCCTGATAGGGCAAAATAGAGCTAAGACAGAAGGTCCACCAACTTGGAAAGCTCACTTATTCAGAATGTTCACAAAGGCTTGTTGGACTAAAGTGACATTCTCAAAAATATAAAAACCAGGTCATTACCTTACTAGTTCAGACCACTCAGAAAAACTATTTTTTTCCTTTCCTTCACTCTCTTCTCTGTACCACTATTTAGCCTTGACTTATTCCTGTTTTTCTTTTAACTCATCTTCCCTATACTGTTTCAGTGAGTACACTCTTGATTTCCTGTCATCCTGTCCTTATCCCCCACCCTTCTCTTTACCTTACTTTCTTTTCCCATTTTTCTTTTTCCTGTGTCACTTGATAATCATCCAAGATATTATTCTGTAATTCATGATTAAATCAATAGGGTTTTAGGGAACTAGCTGGATCAGCTATCCCTATCGCATTTACATATGACTACTGAGGAATCTAGGTAGGCCCCAAATGGTGTTGAACCCCATTCTCCCCACCCAGATGAAATCAATCTGAATAAAATGAGTGTTTGAATTTGAGGTAAACATACATATAGACTAAATTATTCCTAGTCTGGTACCAACCAGACACAGATATTTATCTTAACCTGTTAAGAATTTAAGAATACGAATTAACTGTTAAGAGTTAAATAAGTTGGAATCACTGACTTCTGAAAAGGTTTTATGAACCAAAAATGTCTGGTTCTCTCAAGTAAATGTAAATGGGTTTAAATGAAGGTGACGAATTTTTATCCCTAAAACAAAATGTCTTCTTTTACAACCATTTACTTGGCAAACATTTACCTATTAAGTTATTGTCTCCAATGGGTTGGTAGCTATTAAAAAGCTTCTATCATCTAACTTTGTATTTGAGGTTAATTTTCCGCTTTCAGAAAGTACTGTCAAACCTTCACATTCAGTAGATAGGTTTATCTGGATAAGTGAGATTATTTACACAGTATCTAATAATGTGTTAAGTGAAAATAGGCATTATGAGATGTTTATTAGAAATGTAATTAGAGGCTGGGCACAGTGAGTGGTTCCTACCTGTCATCCTAACATTTTGGGAGGCTGAGGTGAGAGGATTGCTTAAGACCAGGAGTTCAAGACCAACCTGAGCGACAGAGCAAGACCCTATCTCTACAAATAGAAAAATCAGCTAAGCATGGTAGTTCACACCTTTAGTCCTAGCTACTCAGGAGGCTGAGGCAGGAGGATGACTGAGCCCAGGAGTTGAAGTTGCAGTCAGCTATAATGATGCCACTGCACTCTAGCCTGAGCAATAGAGTGAGACTCTGTCTAAAAAAAAAAAAAGTAATTGAAGCCAAGTGTGGTGGCACATGCCTTTAGACCCAGCTACTCCAGAGGCTGAGGTGAAACAATCAGCCCAGAAGTTCAAGACCAGCCTGGTAAAAAGAGCAAGACCTCATCTCTATTTAAAAAAAGAAAAAAGAAATGTAATTGGTATGAACGAAGTTCTTTTTGCTCAGTGTAGAATTATACACGTCTTATTCTAAGTAAAACTGACCTACAGAATATATGAAGTAGTAAGTTAATTATGCTTGACCTTAAGAAGTTTTTAGGTTGGCTATATTATATATGCTATGTTGGCACTGCTCGGCTCATATCAATATTGTACATCTGGAGGGGATAAAAGGAAAAGTTCCTCTGAGAGTTTAAATTGGGAGCAAGGCTGGGCGTGGTGGTTCACACCTGTAATCCTAGCACTCTGGGAGTCCGAGGTGGGAGGATCACTTAAGGTCCGGAGTTAGAGACCAGCCTGAGCAAGAGCGAGACCCCCTCTCTACTAAAATAGAAAAAAGTAGCTGGGCATGGTGGTGAGTACCTGTAGTCCCAGCTACTCAGGAGGCTGAGGAAGGAGGATCGCTTGAGCCCAGGACTTTGAGGTTGCTGTGAGCTAGGCTGAGGCCACAGCACTCCAGCCTGGGCAACAGAGTAAGACTCTGTCTCAAAAAAAAATAAAAAATAAATTAAAATAAATAATAAATAAAATAAAATAATAAAATGGGAGCTAGGCTATTGGCAAATGGGATGTAGTTGTGGGGATTACACCACAAGGAGACAGAATAATTTAAACTGTCAGCAAAACTTTTCAATTCAACTTTTCCTTAGAAAGGTATCTACATCAATAATAGAAATGAAGTAAAAATAGAGTTCACATTATGGGAATTTCCTTTATAGGAGTCTTGACTGGAATGTAACTATTCTGTATACCAAAGGACACCTATTAATATATTTGGTCGACTGTTATTAGAGGTGGGCATAGCACTCTATTCTTTTACTACAATTCTAGTAGCTAGAATACCAGGTCAAGGTAATGACAATGGCAGTATCTTTCATGAATAACAAAATGGATAATCCAATTATCTAAAGATATTTAAAAAGATGAAATATAAGCCAAAAGGCAATTCCTGACCTAAATTCAGAAATGTAGACCATTTACAAAGATACTATTATTCTAAAAAGTATGATAAATGCCTTATTAAAAAAAGGACAGAAAAATAAGTTCTAGAGATCTGCTGTACAACATTGTGTCTACAGTTAACAATATTGTACTGTACACTTAAAAATTTAAGGGAACTCTCATGTTAAATGTCCTTACTACACTAAAAAAGATTCTTAAATAAAAAAAAATAAAAGACATTAAAAAAGTTGACACTATACTGAAATTATAGAGGTTATCCATGCAGTTAACTTTTGTGTTTTCCTAAATTATAAAAGTAATTGGTACTTATTATGGGACGTTCAGAAAATATAGGGAAAAAGCCACCCATAGTCACATCAGCAATAACCGCTACTATTATTTTGGTATATTCCAATCCCATGTCTGTGTGTGCATACACACATCTTTTAACAAAAGGGGTAGCATAATACAATTTTGTGTCTACTTTTTTCACTTATTTTAATACATGCATTTCCCCTATCATCGTATGTTTTTCAAAAACATGACAGTCCATCTTATGGATATGCTTTCTTATTGCTTATTTTGGTTTCTTTTTTTAAATATTATAACATTTAAATGAACACCTTGTATGGAAAAGTCTTGGTCCACAGCTCTGATTATTTCCTTAGACAATTTCTTCTCAGTGTTACTGATGGGTCAAAAAGCAAGGATATTCTTAAGGCTCTTGAAAAGATTGACAAGTGTCCCTCTTGAAAGGGAATATTCCAGTTTATGAACGCTAACCAATGATGTGTGAGAGTGCCCACCTCTCCATACAGTTCCTGACCTTACAAGAGAATCACATTTTTATGAAGCTTAGTAAAAAAACAAGAACAAGACACACTTGTTACCATACCTACCTGAGTTTAAAATATAAAAGCTTAAGGCAGTTAATAGTAGTATGCATCTGTGCATTACCAATACATATTTTGGGAATAAGTGGTAATAAAATTTATGAGGTAGAAATAAAGTAAACACACTGGGCTTAGAAGCATCTTACAAATCATCTAGCCAAACACCTAATTTTGTGAGTGAGGAAACAGATGCCTCTTGCCTCAAATGGAGACTTATCAATTGTACACAGCAAGCTAGAGTCTGAGTTTTCTAATTATTAGACTATGCAGAAAGTGACTCAAGAATTCAGTGTCCTTATTCATAAATGAAGACGTTTAATCATTACGTTTATTCATTCACAGATTTTTAATCTCTAAATCCCTTCTAAAATTCTGCAATTTTTACAAATTAGGTTGTAAGAGGCTCTCCAGCAAAGGAGAAAGCACAGAACCTGCTTCTGAACGTCTAGGTTCAAGCACCAATTTTACCTTTCATAATATAAAGATTTTTTAAGCACCTACCTCATAATGTTGCTGGAGAGATTAATATGTGAGAATTTTGTAAACTGCTAAACTATATAAATGAAAGGTGTTTTAATTACATATGTGCGCAAATACCGTGAAAACTGTAAATACACATTTAAAGTGTTACGGTAGAGCATGAGTATTAACCAAGAAAGGTACCAAAGAGAGTTGGACTCTCTTGAACTGTGATTGCAAGGGAAAGCAAAGCAAATATTACACAGGATAGCAGGTACAACGCACTTTCATGAAAATGGGCATATCTGAACAAAAGCTGTGGCAGAAGTACGGCCAAATAACTTATCACAAATGTACAGAATGAAAAGAACAGCCTGCTGTTATGGAAGAACTTACCAGGGTGGTTTATTAAGTCAGCTGCTACAAAAAAAAAATGGTATTTTTAGGGAAGGATAGGAGAGCCTAAAGAAATGTATCTTCCTATTGTTTAAGAAAGAAGTATAACCAGTTAATCAACAGCTACATCAAGTTCTACTAGAGGGAGTGCCTATGTAAATGAAATTCTGCTTTTAAAATGTCTATTATATAAAGGTTTCCAGAATCATAGAAAACTCAAGCCCTGTTCTACGAGCCCTAGCAGCCTGACAATTCGATAGGCACAGGAAAAGAAGAAAAAAAATAACCAAAAAAAAAAAAATGCTGCTGAAGCCTCTCTTTCTTTGCAGTATAAATCCTTGAATACATTTAAAACAATTACTACATAAAGAATTGCCAAGTATGGATTCTATTTTTCTGAGTTTTGACAAAATATGAAAAGAACAAAGACCACCAATGAAAAGAAGTGGCTGGGAACATCTATATTCTACATATAGTTCAATTTCGAAAGGTTCTGCTGGGCCTATTGAAATTGAATGCTTTTTTTAAAATGTGGCGATAACATAGGAAAGGTATCACAGTTTTACCTCTGTCTCCTACAAGCAGGTGTATTCGGTGGGGTTACTATTCCCAGGACAAAGCACTCAGGGTTTTGGGGTTTTTTTTCACGTTTTGACTGACAAACTAGAGGCTACTGCAAAAAAGAAGAAAGAGAACGGTGTTATGCGTTTATTTGCACAGGATCCGCAGTCTTGACCCCCAATTTTATAAATCGCCCCCACAAATAAAGCCAGCCTGTTAGGTACGGGTGAAGAGGCAGGAGCCTGGGAGAGCCTAGAGCTCTTTGTACTAAGAAGCTTCTCGGTTAGGGCGCCCCCGCTCGGCGCCATGCAATCTCTCCAGGTTCAGTGCCAGACGGTGGCGGCGTGCTCTGACCTCTGGTTCATCACACTTGCCTTTTCTTTTCTAGGAGATACCAAGACGCAGGTGGTGCGGCTGGGCACGCTCCGGACAGAACAGCTTTTCTGGAGCAGATACACAGCCCCGGCCCGCCAGCGCCAACCCGCAAGCCGCTCCTCCCCAAGCCCTGTCCCAGTGCCCCGCCGGCTTCCGCCGTGCCGCCGCGACGGAAGCTCAGGCTGAGCTTTCGCGAGCCCCCCGCCCACGCAGGTCCCTGCCGGCCCGGGCAAGTCCCCACCCTCGCAGCAGGCTCGAGGACCACCCCCCTCCCCGAGAGGAGCCGGGCGGCAGGTACTTATCTCCGACCTCTGGTGACACGGGAGGAATCCCCGCTTGAAGCCGCGCAGCCGCCGGTCCTCCAGCCGCGGGGACCGAACGCTACGCGCCGGGCACAGCTGCAAAATGGACTCGCAGCGCCAAGCGTGCCCCGCCCCACCCATCGCCCTCCTCCGCCCTCACTCAGGCTCCGCCTCCCCGGCCCGCTTCGCCTTTGTCCCGCCTCCCTGTCGCGCCTTTCCTCGGAGGTGGCGAGGCGGCGGTCCTTCCGGTGGCTCTACCCGCCACTCCCCCCCGCCTCACCCACGCGGGCTGCCTGGAATCGGGGAGGGTCCTCTGCTGCTCGCTTTTCTCCCTTCCAGGGGGCTGCCCGCGGCTCTGGGAAGCGGACGCCATTCTCCCAGACGAGGCGGTCGCCCTTGAGGGAGCGCAGGCTACCGGACGCGGCGCGGTCCCCGGTGGAGCCACCCGGGAAGAAAGCCTCCCAGTTAAGCCGACGCACAATAAGATGGTTGGGTTTGGATTGTTGTACTTTTTTTTTTGTTCGTTGCATTTTTAGGAACAAAAAAAAAAGCCCAACCCTTCACACCACTTCATTTGCATCTCTCAGGACCAGAAACCGGCCACAGCGGCTTGGGGAACGGAAACAACCGCCCCGCACCCCGCAACCGGGGAGGGCGGGACGGGCACATCTGCGCCCCGCGGAGTCGCCGATTTGCGGTGGGACAGCGCCAGGGCTGTAGCCAGGGGCTCCAGCCAAAGCGAGGTTAACTGTCGTCCCCCAGGCCACACCCCCAACCGTGCACCTATTTATTGCAGGCTTTAGGCAGAACACAAGCGACCCAATTCTTTTTAAAATTCTCTTTCAAGAACAAGAACACCACTGCTTTTTCCTGTTAAGGGAAGAAAGAACTTTAAAATTGGCTTTAAATTATCGGCCGCTAACAGTTATTCAGTCGCTAACCTGACTTTGGGTTCTGACGTCCACCCCTGTATGGGGACCTTGTCCAATAGCAGTCGCATTAAGCACTTATCAATGAGCGGTCTGGGAAGGATACAGAGATGAATGATGAAGGAATGGCACCTCTTCAAAACTTACAATCTTGGGGGAAGTGAGACAAGTACAAAATCACAGAATATGCTCGAGGGAGTTTGCTCTGAGTTGGGAAAGTCTGGGCTTTGGGAGGAGGTAGGAGGTTACTTTGGAGAAAGGGCAGTCAAGACCTACCATGCATAGTATTTGGGGCCCTTAATTAATAGCCCAAATCCCATAAAAAGCACTTGGCCACACCCTTCTACTGAGAAGACCACTTCTTTGTATGCATCTCCCTTGCTACAGCAAGGTAATAAACCTAACTTTGCCTTTGTAGAACAACAGTTCCCATAATTTCTGTCATTTAGTCTTCACAAGAACACTGTGGAATGGAAATTATGATCCTCACAGGTGACGTGACTTCTCTAAGGTAAAAAAGAAGAGGCAGAGCTGAGGCTAAGGTCAGATACCAGGTACAGGTTCTTTCTACAGCTGTCAATGTCAGTGACAGTGAAAACTGCACCCCAGTTCCCTACTAAACTAGTGTTTCTAAAAAAATAAAGTGATTTATAGAAACATTTCAGATACCCTAATATTAAAATGATACAAGAGCAAAAGCTTATTAACTCAAAACCCACAAATTATCCCTAATAAAATTATATAATACATATGTATATGTAGTTAGATCTAATTAATAAACTGCCCAATTAAATGAAAAACACTCATTAAATCTGCAATGCAATCCCTAGATTGTTAAACAAAATTACTAAAGTACTTGGTGTATTAAACTCTCCTAAGTGTGGAAAAACGGGGAAGGAAGAATAACATCTCTCCTCCCATGGTCCTAATACACAAAACAGCAGCCAGGGAACTGCCACATGCCGTATGACTAGATAAAAGGGAGTAACTGTCCAATAAAAACCCGCATACACAGCTACATCCTTCCTGGAGGAGCACAGTGCAACTAGATCCTGGTAGAGATAACACGGGGATTATCCACATTCTCCTTGCACTGGAATTTCCTTCTATTTACTATTCTTCAAATAAGTAAACTAACAGCTGAAGCTTGGAATTCATATATCAGCACAGCAGTACAACAACAGATATAGGTAATCTTATGTAAGTTTCTGTCTTTTGTGATAAATATATTTTTACAAGGTAGAATTTCTAGTATATATATGTAAATATATATAAAAGAATATGTTACTATATATTCTTATCATTGTGTTGATTTATTTCATGATGTTTTTCTCTTGGCCCTAGAAAAGGTAAAAATTTCTCCGCTCTTCTCCCCACCTACCAAGACGTAAGTGATCAGATGTTCCAATACAAAAGGGACAGTGCCAAATTTAGTGTACATTGAAATGTAAATTGTCAGAGTGAAGAACATCTAATAACTAGGCCTGGAGCAACTGTGTGTAGGAGAGGAGGGCTGGCGGGCCTCCCCAGATACATTGGAACATTTTATTATTATTCTATCCTTCCCTATAGCTGCCAGAGTTATGAATTCCCCAACAAGAATTCCTACCAATAAAAAGCACTGGCATTGCAAGGTGGTATATCAAAAAGAGCATAGGCTTTGGAATCAGTTTTGCATCTAAACTCTAGCTCTGCCACTTACTAGTTATGCAAGTTACTTAGCATCGCTAAGCCTCAGTTTTCTCCTCTGTAAAATGGGAATCATGATACATTTGATTATGATAATTAGGTAATATATAAAGCAACCAACACTGTATCTGACATATAGTAGGAGTTTAATAAATGGCCGCTGCTGGTATATGCAAGAAGAAAACCATGCTTGTTTGGATTGCATTTGCCCTAGATTTGTAAAGTGGGAGCTCAGGGACAGTAGTCTCAAACAGAGCTAAACTGCCTATGCCGCAGAGGAAGCTAGCGCCATAATTTCTGCTTTTCTCCATCTAGCCTAGTGTGAACTTTTAAAAGCATGTATTCTTCCACTTCTATACCTCTTCCCCTATGCTTGGGAAAAGAAAAGAAAAAGGAAAAACATCAAACTCAACAAAAGGAAGACTTTACTGCATTTTTTTTAAAGCTCTATATTTTCAGAGAAATTGAACAATCAAAATATTCCATTAAAAGACATGTAAAAGTACATTTTTTTTATTTCTACCTGTAAAAACACACTTATCATAAAAGAAACTTACCTAAGACTTGATGAAATTAAAGGGAATTAGTCCCTGGTTTGAAGAAAATTCCAGACTCTATATTTCAGTTGCATGGTGAAGATCGTGCATTAAACAAAGCCAATAGTAAGATCAGTTAGCTTTGGAAGAGAATGAGAGACACTTAAGCAACAGTAAACCTGGGCTTTAGTTATGCTGTTTCTGTAGATGGAAGGAAAAATTGTAAGAATAAAGTAAAATAAGTCAAAGGTAATTAAGGTGATATGGTGAAGATAAGGCCAGACGAAGGCACCAAAAATAACTGGGAAGATTTCACCAGGGAGATAGGAGTTGAACTGCATCTTTAAACATCATAGGATTCAAAGAAGAGAAAGAGTATTCAAGATGAAGAACGCAGCACAAGCTCAGGGTGGAAATGAGCTTTACTGATAAGTGAAAAGTATGGCCTACTTTGGAAATAAAATTTGAGGCCAAATTGTGAAATGTTTTGAATGTCAGAATAAAGAATTGAATTTCATTTTGTAGGAAATAACGTCCATGTTGCACTAACCAGATGAAAGCAGAATTTTAGAAAAATTAATCTGATAATAAGGTCCAAGATTTAATGGAAAAGAAATTTGCTTTATTTTAATATTTTCAAGGTTTATTACTGAAAATTATAGATTTTTAAAAATTCAATAATATATGTAAAAGTATAGCATATATGGTTCAGTCCTACTGAACCATTTAATATATTGTCTACTGAAGTTCTCAATTGTAAAAAAGATGTAATATAGAAAGAATTAATTGTGGCAAATGTTCTCCTAAAATCCTCCAAAAGGAGGTTATAAGTGTGTGTGTGTGTGTGTGTTTGTATATCAATCATATGCATAATTTTTTACTAGAATGATCTTAACTGTATTGTGTAAATAACCAGTGTTAACATGTTGCTTAGCTGTTTTTGAGTATGTTTCACTAGAGCTTTAAAAATTATTACATATATATTCTCGGAAATGTATTACTGCTTTGATATTTTAACAATGACTATTAATTATGACAATTAAACGTTTTTCTAAATTTAATTTCCTTATATGTAGAATTTTATTTTTGATGAACAGTAATTTTATGAGAGCCTTAAGAAATAATTAATTCAGGTAAAGACTAATAGATATGGTAATTTGCAATTGTTTAACAAAGCTTGATTTGTATAAATTGTTTATTTTGGAGCTTTCTGTTGAGTTCACTAATCATTGTGCTCAGTTTTTATCTTGAAAAATGTCACTTATGATGATAAAGTCTTATTATGGTTTAGAAAACTACTTTCATCCTGTTCTGTGGGGCATTTTTAGACTATTTCTTCTGCAAATAAGAGTAGTAGTATGGGTAGGGGTTCTGCAGTTTTCAGTAGCTAGCAGATATGTGTACCTTAAGCACAGTCTTTTTTTCATAAATAAAAGCAATAATGCATCTCATAGAACTTTGCTTCTGAGGATCTACATTTATCAGATACCTACCTATACAGCATTACACAAGATATACATGCTTAATATATTTTTAACATGAGCCCAGTGGGGTCTCTCTGATATCAAAGCAGTAGGCAATAAATGACTGTCAAAATCTGTTTATCTTATGATGGTCTTGTTCATAACACCACACAGGTTGTTGCTAGAATGCGGCCAGATCTTGGAATCGATCTAAAGCAGCCCACACCCCTCCCAGTCAGGCAAGACACAGATAATTGAGAAGATGCTTGAGACTGATTATACTACTATATATCAGTGCATTGGGGGCATTTTGTGAAGATCGTTGACCTCCATGTTACAAAATCCAATGGACATTTTTTCAGTTCTCATTTTCCTTGATCTCTTAGCAGCATTTTACTCTGAGTACCACTGCCTCCCTCTAAAAGGGCCCACTTCCTCTTTTTCCCACCGTTAATAACACGAAACCCACTCCTGGCTTTTCTTCTTAG